AATACAATAATTCATTAGCAGGGTATCCTCACTCCCACACTATTATAATACAATGATTCATTAGCAGGGTATCCTCACTCCCACACTATTAGAATACAATGATTCATTAGCACGGTATCCTCACTCCCACACTATTATAATACAATGATTCATTAACAGGGTATCCTCACTCGCACTAATATGTGTTGACATAATACCAAAAATATTTCAAAATATATATATTTAATGAATAAATACATTAAACATTTAACCAATACTGTAAATGAAAGTAACATCAAATAAAGAATGGAATATAACTTACACTTTGAACATATTCCAAGCTAAACAAGAAATAAACTTTTCTTCATTTTGTGAATAATGATCTCAGAAAACAACAGATAAATTCTTTCGGATACAAACAAGAGGACAGAAAATTATTCTCCGAGAACTTCTAAAGATGTTGCTCAATTAAAAACACTTACCACATCTCTTCTTGAAGCCACCGTACAGATACTTATCCCAATGGTTATCATCCCCACAGCAATAAACTTCTTTAGTTTATAGCTACAATAAAAAATATATGATGAAATATTTACCCATAACTAAGAATTAACATATAGCAACATATATATAACTATTCAATCACAGTTGAGTTTATCCTATTTTTGTCTGTTAACATTCTACTACAGCATGTGCCTCTGCTATTATTTATGGATAATGCAAAAGCCATCCCACTATCTTGTTTCCATTGTTTTTAAGGGTAATGATAACATCGTTTACACTAGAATTATTATTTTTTTTACTTATTACTAGTTATTAATAATATTTATAAAAACGGATACTCCGTTTGAAACTATGTCACCACAGTGAAATTGGTTGACACCATTGTTTTGGTTTTTGAGTTATCATGTAATAAGAATGAAGCAGAAGAAAGAAAAACAACTTTCTGTTATGATATTTCCAGACATTCCCAGAACTTGTTACTCAACCATTACATAGATATTGTTATAAAAGGAAACATTGTATAGTATTGTAAAGTTCTGATGACCTATTGAGGAGATATTTAAAATACCACTTCGATGAACAATCCGAGCCATCCCTACACAGGCATTTTGAAC